CCCTCTCCAGCGGTCTCGTCGGGGCTGTCCCCCGTCCCGCCGAATCGCCATCGCCCCCCGTGCCGTGTGCCACGGGTCGGGTTCGCGGCCCAAGCGCTGAGAAAGGACTATCGAATTTTCCTTTCAAAGGGCCCTTGGCAGGCAAAGGCGGCAGAGGAGCTCTTGAGACGCGAGCCTTGCCTTTGAAACTCCTCTCTTCCGCCCTAGGATGCTCGGCGTGCACTTAAATTTTTCATGCAAAATGTCTGTCTTCTTTCTGAAGAACCCAGGTTTTTAATTGAAAACCAGAAAAAGAACCAAACTGGAAATTAAAAGATTTGGGCTGGAAAACAATAGATTCCCAGAAATTTGAAAAAAAAAAAAAAGAGCAGAATTGTTTTGTTTTCGGTTCCCAGCTTTTTTTTTCCTGGGAAACAAACTGCCCCTCTTTCTGCAGAGGAAGAAGGAGGCAGACGAAGCCACTGCGATCTCTGCCAAACTGATCTGGGGGGAATATTCCTTCCTGACCCGAAAATCTGGAGAGCCGTTTAACCCCGCGTGTTAGCAGGACGCTTCAGCTCCCTGAGTGCTTTCGCAGTACCCCAGGGCTGCCAGCAAACCCCTTAACCTCTCAGCTAGACCCCGAGAAGGGAGCAGGGAAAAGGCGGGCTGGAAAGACTCCCCTTTCTAATAAAGCACCCTGGCGTCCGTGCAGCGCATCAGTTTTAAGAGGCAGGTGTTACGGTCCGTCTGCGGCTCCCCCTGTACCGGTTACCTGCTGCTGACCGGGCTGTGGCTCCTCGTGCTCCGGTAGCTCGGCGGGGAGGAAGGTTCCCGGGTCCTTCCTCGGGCCTTGTAACTGAGAGCCAGGAGGTGACTGTTTGCTTTTCCCCTTGTCTACGGTTGAATATCTGCTGATATTGTTTGCTAAACAAGAATGCCAGTGGCAGAGGAATTAGAAGAAATCCTTTCTTAATTGGAAACAGTGAGTTTGTGTATTTTTTCAGTTGTCTATTTTGGGCCTTGTAAAATTAAAGTTATTAACTGTAATGCAGCGGTTTCCAGATTCCCACAGCCCTTTACAATAGTGGGGAAATTCATCCCAGGTCACTGGGAGCCTTTAATGAATACATTAAGGCTTATTATTAAAATAAAGTACTTACAGCTTTATGGGAGCCATCTGGCAAGGATGCTTGTCTCTCCGAAGGCAGCAAGGCTCCCAAAGTGTCCTCTCCCGGCAGGCACCGCTTCCCACGGCGGCCCCGGCAGAGGCTGCGCCCACACAAGGCTTCCCGCGTTTGGGTCTAAAACACAGAAAGGACGTACGCCGGATGAGCGGAGAGCATCGGTACCAGACCTGCCCTCGGGATCACCGCGCTCCTCTTTCGAGAGCTGAGCAGCCTCTCGCGGGTGCTGCGCTGAGCACGCATTTCCCAAATGCGTTTTACCCTTCCCGGACCGTTTCTGGTACCAGCTGCCCCTGCTCAGTTACTGGATGTGCTTGTGAGACAGCAGAACCTGCTGTAGACCTCAGGCGAGCTCTGCTGACTGCAGAGGTGCTGCCGCTGGTGTTAGCATCCCCGTACGGGCTTAAAATTGGGTTGGGTGACTTCCCGCTCCGTGTGCAGGCGGGACCTTCTCCGGTGCGTTTTCCTGGAATCATTCCCCGCGTTATAAAAGCTGGGAAGCTGAGGCCTGGGAAGAACACATGCACGTTTCCCCTGCGGGCTGCAGGCACAGCTGAGCTGGCTGGGGTTAACCCCAGGACTAGAAGGAAAGGAGACAGCGCAGAGACAGCTGACCTGGATGCAGGCGGGTCAGCTTTGATCCAGATGCTGACCAGCTGTGCTGGCCCCAAGCGCTCAGCCTGATAAGCCCGACATCTGCTAAGCCCGTATCGCACCGTGTCGGGGGGGTACATCGCTGCAGTCCGTATTGCACTGATGTATCCTAAAATAATTCCTCGGCGTCGAACAGAAAGCTGGCAACTGAAC